GCTCTCTCTTTTAATGAGACGGACACCCGAGCTTGGGAATAAAGTCTTTGGAATGAGAACTCTTTGTCTCAGTTCTTGTTAATGACCTGCTCCCCAACAAACTGAGGAGTGGTTTCCCTCGTCAGGAAACGTCTGGAGATATTTTTGGCTATCTTATGGGGTGGGAAGGCTGCTATTGACATCTAGTGTGTAGAAACCATGTGGACACTGCTGAACATCTTACAATGCACAGAAGAGCCCTCTACAACAAGGAATTATCCAGGCCCAAATGTTAATAGAGCTGCTATCAAACCCAGGTATAGAGTCTTCAAGGGCAGCATTCTGAACTTAAAAACCTGAGGACTTATTCTTTCTCTCAGCAAATATTTACTGAGTACTGTGCTGTATAGTGTGAGGGATATGGAAACAATACACCAGATTGTGTCACCGAGATTTCAGCCTACAAGGGGGCGGGGGGGCGGGGAGGGTGTGGAGGTAGGAGAGGCATATCAATACCTTCATTATAAGCCAGAATATGATAAGTGCAAAGAGAGAGTCAAGTTAGGGCTGAGCATGTTCACAGTAGGGACAGCTCATATGTAGTCATGGGAAGAATCAAGGGGGCCTGTGGGGAGGAGGTGGTTTTGGAGCTGGGTGTATGAGCAAAATTGAGCTGTGGGAAAGTATAAGACCTTTTCAGGGAACAGCCAACAGCCTAGTTTAGGTGCAGCACAGAGCTTTTGTTAGTAAGTGGAGAAGGTGGATTGGAAAGGCAGGTTGTGTCTAGAGCTTCGAATCCAGACAGAGGACTGAAGGTTGTGGACTGTAGCCTTGGGGTCTGTCATAGTGAGGGAAAGGCCTTCCATTCCAGAATGATGGTCTTGGCCGTGGGACCCAGCAGCTTCCAGGGAGCTCTCTACAAGGGAGAAGAAGTCTGAAATTGGGGTGGAGTAGGGTGGACTTCTGATTTTAGGATCGAGTTCATGCTGAGGATGTAACAAAGCTATTTCACCTTAAAGTAGCCCTTGGGAGGATGGTTCTCTCAAGTAGAAACATACATGGGATGAACTCTCTTCTGCATGGTTGTTCTGCTAAGGGCTGGGCCACTGGAGCCGATTAAAAAGCCCTAACAAGGGTCTGCTTTCCAAAAGGTGAGCTGTTAAAACAGGGCTTGGTATAGTTAAAGCTTCAAATCTATCTGGTGGTATGATTTTTATAGTTTATTACTTTACCATTAAATAGCATTAAAATTGTTGGTGGGATGTCTGGGGCACTATAGGGAATATAAGGAAGGACTTCCTTATCTTCTACGAATGTACAATTGCCCTCGACACCTTTACACCACCACCACTTTGGGGAAATTCATTACTCTTCTGGAAAAGGGATTAGGGGAGAAGGCAAAGGAGCAGATATTTGTTGAACCAGAGTTTTTGTGGGTTTTTTTGTGTTTTTTTTTTTTGCCAGCTACAGTTTCAGACATTTTCACATACACTATTTCATTTAGCTCTCACAACACTTTTTGGATGTAAGTACAGTTTTCTCCCTTTTGTAAATGAGGAAACAGGCACTCAAATAGGTTAACTTGCCCCAAACCCCTATTGCTAAAAGGAACTACATTTTTTCTCTTTTTTTTAGGGAGGGCGTAGCTCACAGTGGCCCATGCGGGGATTGAACCGGCAACCTTGGTGTTATTAGCACCACGCGCTAACCAACTGAGCTAACCACCCACTCCTAAAAGGAGCTACATTTTAATGCATATATATATATTTTTTCCCCCACATTTTCTTTCCTGTTTTGCCACATTTCCCCCTCCCCTCCTTTTCCCTCTTTTGTAGAAAATTAATCTTACTTACCTGGATTTGGGTTGCTAGAGACCACGGACATCAGCATTAGGGGCAGCAACAGAAGGAGAAAAGAAATTAGAACTTTCATTGCAACTGTTGGTGCTGCTGTAAGCTGCTTGAAGAGGGTGTGGAAGGTTTCCAGTTAGAGGCTCCTGACTTCTTGGGATGGCTCAGGCCACTGTATTTGACTTGTCGGTCTGCGCTCTAGTCCCAGGCCAATGTTCCCATTAGAAGGCGAGAACAGCTCAGTGACGCTGGCCTTGTTAGGTAACAGGTTGGACCATGTGTTTTACGGGAATCTGGGAGGTAAAACTAGTCAAACAAAAGACGTGAAGCGTTCTTAAGAACATAAGTAGGTGGCTGTTAACTTGGCAGCAATACTTGTTCCCTCCCCTCCTCCTTCCCGCTTCAGTATCCCCAGTGTGTTATGATTTTTTCCCCCAAGCCTTTTTGCTCCTTTGAATTTCCTTATACCTTTCACTGACACTTTCTAGCTTAATATCTGGCAGGAAAGTGAGTACTTAGGGTTGTCAGAAGAGAGGATGATAGCCTGTTTCCCCCCTGTCTTCCCCGCTCCCGTCCTTGGTACAATATCAGCAATAGTGGTGGTGTTGCCCGGGAACTTCCCCTGTGTCCTCACTCTTTACAGTTTCCTCCACTTCACATAAGGTGGGAAGCAGACAGGATCAAGGAGGAGAGGCTTTCTCTCTTGCCTGAAACATGGGTCCTAGGAGCAATGGGTTAGACCAGGCCTCCTTGTTGTTGGTCAGGAAGGTGGCTTTGGCCTAGTTACTCCAGCCTAAAGGAGAGGGAACTTGGTTGGTGGAAGATCCTTAGGACCTCAGGTCCAAGAGGGTTTGAGTAACAGGAGCCATAAGAAAGGCCGCTGTGGATCTTGGCTCCAGACCTTGTTTGGAAATAACCTAAGGCAAAAGAAGAGGGTACACTACTTAAAGTAAACGTTAAAGGTTACAGAACATTAGCACTTACACATCATGACTCATTCCAGAGACTTTAGGAAATGTGCTCAAAGAAAGAGGAGAGGCCAGGCTTGAATGCTGCATGATAACGTTTAGGGGCTAAGGGGGAATGAACAAAGAGGCCTCTAGGCAGGAGTGAGAAAGGCGGTGTGACTGTTTCACCTAAGAGGAAGAAAGAGGCAAGGCATGAGTCAAGTCCGTTTTGATTTTTAAAAAAGATTTTTATTAAAATATAACTAACAGGGCCGGCCAAGTGGCGCAATGGTTAAGAACTGGCTTGGGACGCCAGAGG